TACAATGACAACACGCTGCCTGCTGACCAGACTCTGAAGAAAAGTCCATCAGACTTTACAGATGTGTTTGGAGATGGCGATATGTCTCCTAAGGTAGGAAGATATCGCATGTCCTATTTTCAATAACTGTACAGCTTGTAAATATTGGTTAATTTCAAAGCGTTTGGAGGCTGTGATACTTCTGCCAAATAAGGAAATTGAATATTTTCTTTTTTCTTTTTGATAAAACACTTATACTGAGCAGGTTTTTTTCGCACGTGGTTCTTAAACTTTACTTTTAAATAAGAAACAGACCGCTGTACAAGTAAAAAATAGATACTTTCACTTGATGTTAATCCTCTGTTTCTTGATATGATCGTGTTTTTTTCTTGTTAGTTTTTAATCTTGTACTTGTACCTTGATTTTCTTAACACTTACTTGGTGTGGTGTTAAGTTCTTGAGAGTTACGATCTGTCCATCATAACGTATTCAATAGAAGAGTTAAAAAAGTGAACTCTTTACTTGACAGGTTTCTGAGTATGTGTATGATAGTATTAAATTGAATAGTATTAAATGAAAAGTTTGGTTTGGCATTCTTTGTTCATTTTGCTCAAAGGCCAAACAAAAGATTCCCTTGGGCAGTTAAGCTGTTAAGGGTTTCTTAGAGGAAAGATCCCAAAAATGCTCTAATGTTCTTACTTATCACCTTCAGTATTAAACAGATTATCACACGTGCCTATGTCCTCTGTTGTCATCACATATCATCTTAGATCTCCTGCAGGACATTTAGTATATTTTAGACAGTTCCATCACAACAATAAATAAAAGAATAACTTTTGTAAAATATGTGTTTTCTGACAACAGAACAATTCTATAAACCTGTCTAATGAATGGCAGGTTTCGTTGAACTTATACTGTCGTTGAACTTATACTGTTGGTACATGTTGACTCAAGAGCTTTGAAACACAGTCTATGGTGTCTTGTTTTATTGTTTATTTGTTTATTTAATTGGCCAAAAGTATCTGTGTTTCAATTAAAGTTAGCCAGCGTGGGTCAGAGTTGTAATACTTTTCTTGTTCTTCTGTTCGAGAGGCAGAGAGGCGGTTGGAATTGCTGTTTTTCCACTTTGCAATGAGTTTATCAGTTGCCCTTGTCTGTGTCTTTGGAGCCGACATGCAGCTGGTGCTCTGTGTCTCTGTCCTTGGTGCTGAGCAGGCCTAGTCCATGCTATCCTTGGTGCTGAACCTTTTGTTTCCTCTTGTGACGTATTTTCATGGGGAATGCGCTGCAATGTTTTATGTATAACTTTTTAAATTTTTTTTTAATTTTTAGGCTACAGTTTAACAGTTTCATTTGTTTTTATGGAGACGTGTGTTCCATTTTCCTAACAAGATTTTGCTATGACATCACATCTATTCCTAAGTACGATTAAAAATAAGGAAAAGTAGAATCACAAGTGTAACCGGATAAAAATGTTTGTGGTCACATAGTGACAATTCACGTTATACATGACTTTCGGTAGCGAATTGTACATATTTATAGAAGTTGTTTCTTCATGAAAGAAGTAGTAATATCCCTCCTTTATCTTAAATCTCGTGGTAACTGAGGTAATGCTTGTATTGACATATTTTACTGAAACACTGAAAGCACTGGTTTGGTTCTTT